GAACTACATTCGCATTGTATTGCTTCTTAGATACGTATGTTTTATAGAATATACACCTGCGTTGCATGCACAATGTACACTCACTTCGTTCGCTCACACGCATTCAATTACATCGCATATGGAGTTCTAAGAAAAATCAAAGAAGAAAATGGCAATTGGCTTGTGAGCGCGCAAGCGTTTCCATTTTTTTCCCTCTTTTGCGATTATGATTACAAATTTCATCTTTCCAAGGTGTGAACGAAGAAAAAGCAATGCTGAAAATAAAGCGCAAAAAAAAATTAAACGAAAAAGGCGACGATAGGAAATTCTTCGGTCTGTGTATGTGCACATTTCTTTTTTTCTATTCAGCTATCATTCTTTTCCCTTTCTCTCTCTCTCTCTCTCTCTCTCTCTCCCGATAAGTGAGGTGAATGTAACAGGTTTAATCAATGTATGTGCATTCAATGGGAGACAGACTTCGAATAAAAAAAAAATTGAAGAAGAAAATGAACCCAGGATAGAGAAGCTAAATTGGATTTTCATGGGGGATATTTATTCTAGCTGGTTTGACTTTGTCACTGGGCTACCTTTGATATGGCACACACACACACACACACACTTCAGACGTGATTGCCTTGAATTTGTTATGATTGACGGCCATATAGCAGTATAGTAGTATATTATATCGAGTAAGAGCAAATGAATCTCAGCACGAAATTCATTTGTGTGTTATCAATTCAGTGCATTCACTATCGTTTATGTCGTCATTACAAAAGTGAATGATTATTGACTGCGATGAGGTAGCCAATCGACGTAAAATCACGCTTCATTGCAGTCAACTAGTGCAAATCATTTTTCGCCAATTTTTCTCGTCTTTTTTCTGTGCACTACTACTCAATTCGCAATCGTACACCGACGATCACTGCGGAAGAATGCATTCTCATCGAGTGATGAGAGAGCGAGTCGAAGCTAAACAAAACGAAGAAAGCAAAAAAAAATAGCGATAGCGCGAAAAAAAGTTGGTTTTGATAGGTTGCCGTTGCAAACATGCATGTGAACTACACACAATACGCACCCGTTTGAAAATAAATGTTTACGAGTGGCGTTACATATTGAACAACAACATATGGCGGCCCATTCGTTCCATATGCAAATTTCGTTTGTGAATTCCGAATAAAATCCATTATACATCCATTCTTCGATGCGTTATAAAACCAAACGATGTGCCGAACGAACATTGTTGACACGGAGTACGAACGAGTGCGCACACATGCAAACACACACCATTGATTGCTCTATATTTCTTTGTTTGGCGTGAAAGTAACGTAAGTTTTTTTCCCCTTCTATTCGTTGCTCGTTTAAAACGCATTCGCGATTAACAAACAACGATTTCGAGTCGATATGAATGCAAGAAGAAAAAATGGCGATGGGAATTGTTTCAATCGACTTTTGATTAGGTTATTTTTTTCGTGTGCTCATTTGTTTTTTTTTAACAACATCTGCATTTCATGCGCTTAATTTGCATTAATATTTTATTAGAGGATTGGAGTGTGTGCATTTTCACGATTCGATAACGACTCTTTTTTTTCTATTTCTGACCTCAATTTTATTGGCGTAACTAGATTTTCTTAGTGAATCGTATGAACAAAAAAAAGGGATGATGGTAAACGGAACATAAATCGATTTTTTGTTGCATACTTTCTATCATTTACATGTGATATGGCGATATCTATTGAGATTATCGGATAAACAACGCAATGATTAAGTCTGAAGATTTATAAAAGAAATTGAATTACCACTGTGACAAGAGGATTCAAAACAAAACCAGAAAATTTTTGCGCTATGCAGAGATAGGACAAAAGGGTAATTGGAAGGAGTTAATGATATGTGCGACTGAATTAAGTTAGACATACTAAACATGTCTCTTTTCTGTTATGTGTGTGTGCGTGCGTGCATGGAAAAGTATCTACAATCTGTCTAGCATTCATGTTTGATAACAATGAGCAATGAACAGAAGTGTAGAAATTCAAGTGGATTGTCATAAGTCTCAAGATCCAAATGGCTGATGTACTCTTCGTAGTGTTTGTTCTTTTTGTTGATGTTTCATTGAGATTAGAACGTCAACCATATGAATTTATCTCATAAATTACGTGGTACTTAGGTAGAGAGCGAAAAAAAAACATGTTAAGAGTTTTGCTTAGAAAATATTTTCCTTCCAGTTTGTAAACGTGAAAAATGAAAACGAAAATATGTTGATATCAAGTTGAAGTGTGTGTGTGACTGACTCCGAAATTCCATTACACATGGAAATGTGTGTAATTCAACGTTATGCGTAGACAATTGCTTGGGAAGCGTGAATTCATTGCCAATGTTTGTGATTAAATGATGTAATCGGCCTTGATTGTCAACGCAGTGTAAGTGATTGTTTTGAAGTTTCAATCATTTCATAAGTGAAATCGAAGAAGAAGAAGAAAAGAGAGGGAGAGAGAGAGAGAGAGGAACAGAAAAAAAAAATCGTACACCCATCCAGTGTCGCCGCCAACGTTAAATATTCTACAAAATGAATGAACATGCGTTGAAAATGCTTACATAAGCCGCTTATTAAGAAGATGCCTCCAAGTCTGCACCATAAATATTTTGTTTTGATTCACCAAGTGCCATACACAATGCATTTGGGAGTGAACGAGCTGGGATGCGATGCATGTGTTCCGACATTTGATTTTGCATCAACTGGCGGAAGTTTGATGAAAGCGTGAAAACACGTATCATCATCATTTTCATCATGTGTGTGAAAACCATGCTCTTCTCCACTGTGTAAAGTATTGCATACACTTTCTTTTGATTGCGATGAGACGAAGCTAGTTACCGCCACCGCCGTCGTCGTCGCGTACACACATACAGTCCGCATTGAAGCCCCCGTTTGAATGGACGGGTGTCATTGAACGATGTGTAACTTAACAAATGCATATTTACTTAGTGCATGTTTGCTGGAAGTCTAGCAGACGTTATGATGTGAATTATATGTGTGCTAGCGCACTGTAATCGGTATCTCTTCTGTGTTTGTTGTTTAATAAATATTACCAAACCAAAAATAAAGCATTCGGTTTCCATGAATCGGCATGCAACCATGTGTGGCAACCGACATAAATTCCCTTGATCAGCTGCATACACACTGTTTTAGGATCTAGCAGATTGCGCGTGAACTCTCAAGCCGCAAGTCGTCTTTAATTTCAAAAACAGGGGCGAGAAAAACAAGAGAAAGACGGCGACGGCGACGCCAACAGTGAGCGAGAGATATTGTGAATTCACGTGATGTGTTTGGATTGCGGCAGATAACGTTTGGCTTCGTTCTTTGTTATTCGTGTCATTAAATCTCGTTGTTTTCAAACACGTTGCTTATTTTTCCACGTTATTCATGCTGAATAAAAAGCAATGCCAATATTTACCAACGGAAGTATGGGGGGTTGTTTCACATTGACAACCATCAATCGCTCTCTATCTCGACGACAACATGCCATGAATGGATATGGCCACTTCAACGTATTTGCTTATTTTTTTACTCTCTGCATTTTGAAAAAATTAAAACAGTATGTGCACGTCTGTGTATATGGAGTCAACTCAACTTTTAGATTTAATATTTCCTTTGATTGACCGGGAGAAGTGATTCCGCTTGACCTGAGTTTCATTGCACATGGTCAATATTTAACGTTCCAATACATCTACGAACAACATCATACATTTCGAAATCGAATTTATTCATATTTGATCAAACAAATTGGACCTTTCCTTGGATTTGTCGATTTACTTCTTGAAGAAGTTGGTGTGTTTTTTCCTTTTTCTTTTCAACTGACGGATATGTGGGCCGTTCATCGAATTACACAAATCGATATTTAAACATTCGTGCAGCTGATAAACATTCAGTGATGGAAACGAGCCAACGCTTGATCGGCCGACACGCACATAGTAGCAGTGTGAGAACGGTGATAACAGTAGCAACAGCTATAGAAAACGATTAAGCATCCGATTTCTAAAAGAAAATCAAATAAAAAGAAGAAGAAAAAAAATTCTAAACAAATAAAAATGGAACGAGAAAAGTATTGAATTACGTCAAAGGAAAAAAGGGAAACGCATGTGCTGCGTTTGCATGTCAAAGCAGATGGGACTTCTTTTCTTCTTCTTCTTCTTCTTTTCATTCTCATCGTCTTTTGAGTGGCAATTCCTTTTCATCCAAGCGATAAATCTAACAGAATCTGTGGTACTCAATTGTGCCGCTTCAGCTCAAACTCTTGTTCACATCAAAGTCGTTCATATTCTCAAGAAAAGGCCTGCATATTAACAACGGGTTTCGGAATTGTGTCTGTGTGTATATAGAGATGCGGTCGCATTGCGCGTTGCCTCTCACATAGAGGAAAATAAAAAGAAAAAAAACACTTCGATTAGCTTTTCTCTTTGAACAAACATCTACTCGTGATATGTGTCAATTATTCGATTGACATTCTATGTAATAGAGTGGTGATAAAACGTCATCGGATAAAACGCCTAACGAAATGGGCATTAATGGAATTCACTCCGCAATTTACGTAATCATATGTGTCCTTATCCGATGGTACTTCACCATTCATCAATAGCGTGAGCGGACGCGGGCGCGAAATGCAAATAATTCCAACAACCTTGAGAAATTTGTCGTTTTGTGTGAGCGTCTGAATGGGAATATGGTCTATATAGCATATGTACCGTATATTCTATCAATATTTTGAAATTTTATCCGATGACACAATCTCGGCATTCAATTGAGTAGCACATTGTGATTTATGTGATGTGCGATACGAGGGCAACCAAGATTATTGTTAGCAAAGTAATAATGATTTTTGCGATTGATATTTAGTGAAAGGCTGTTAGGCATGTCCAATCATGCACACATCATGCTTTCTACATTATCTTTAGCCTCATTATTTAAAGATTTCAAATAAATTCTAATGATTTTGTTTTTTTTTCTCTTTTTTTTCAATGTTTCTTTACAGTTGTACCAGAAACAATGAGAGTCGCGTGATTCACCCGCATTTGGTAAGTATTTTTTGTGATAATATTGAATCTGGATCAAGTAATAAATGGTAGTAGATGTCGATTTTACATTAACGTATAGATTGTCATTTTTTTTTTCGTTGGGGTCCATTACACGATAACAATCTATTCGATTTCTATTTGGTCTGATAAGGTGCTCGGAAACAAAATCATCGATTTACCTTTGGCACAATGATATGTTGTTGGTAATTTTGGTCGCAACCACGTTATATTTATAGCGAATTTTTATTTCGAAATAGCAGTTACTATATGCTATTATGACACCATTCGACACTTAACTGCCAACGACCGAATGTACGTTATTGATCTCAATTCTTTGTAATCAGTTATACAATATATAAAAACTAGTATAAAACATTGTGTGGCGAAGTGTTATTGCTATTTTGTTTCGGTGTTAATAATAAAAAAAAACTAAATTCGAAGGAAGAATGCGCGAAAATGTGAATTTACATAGACAATGGCAGAGAGACCGAATCAATTGACCTTCTGTAGTGGCGTTTGTACGAGAGCAAAGCAAAGCAAAGCAAAGCAAAAAAAATACCAGATACGGTCTATTCACATATATTATAAAAACATCTTGATCGCTCATCACTCAACATGCCATGTTTATCACATCAATTGTTGAGTACCTCATGTCTTTATTTCAATAGATACCATTTGACTTCTTCTACGGAATTAATTCACCATACAAAAGAGCTGCTTTTAGTTAAATTATCGAAAATTGATTTTTTTCGAAGTCTTACACAAAAACCAATGACTTCTTTCTTTTCTTCATATTTTGGCTATTATTTCTTTACAAACATGCCCCCATACAACGAAAACGAAAGACGACTAAAAACCATGGTTACTACCAAAATATATCAATCATGATGATTTTACCATCTTCTTCACAAAATGAACCAACAATAAAAATAAAACATTTTTCCATTTACTAAACGATTCTTCTATTGTAGTTGGTTGGTTTCTCTCTGTTTCCAAGTGAATACATTGATACTAAAACATAAATAATGGATGCAGTTTTTTCGGTGTTTTCTCGTATCTCGTCCTGCTCAACAAATATTCTCATGGTGTATTTCTTTTTCCCATTTTTTTTTAATTTACAGTTGGAGTTTTTAAAACTGGCAAGCTATAATTATATCCATTTATGTAGCCAAAAATACACATTGTGATGATAAATTCCTGGAAGAGCATTCATCGCTCGTTTTCTCCAATTTTCGTTTCTTTTTAATTTTGTTGCTCTTTATAACATTCGAGAGTGGTGTGTGAGTATGTGCAGTGGAAGCATAAATGCATCATCATTTTTACGGTTGTGTATTCTTTATGCGGCATTGACTTGAAGCAGCAGGAGCAACTCTCTATCGCAATAACATAACATTTAAAGATGTGAACGCAGTGGAACGACTGCATTTCGATTGAATGTGTGTTTAGTTGATGTACACATTACTTTTCCTTCTTCGTTTGTTTTTTTTTCGGAACTCCAAAGTTCAATGGCATTAAGCAATGATCGTCGCTGCATTTAAATGCTACCCTAGAGAAATCTAGCGTATGTGAGAAGAGCAATGCATATATGAGCTGTGAACACGCAACAATATGTGTGTAATGTGTACCTTATCTCTTGCATTGACAATTTTTGAAAACTGAAAACAAATATCATCGCCTGTTTCACCATCATCATCATCATCATCAGTCCTAAACAAAATGCTAAGCGTATGGAACAATCGCAAATGACATCCCATTTATAGAATTATTTAGTTTTTTTTTTTGGTATTGTAGTTGGATGTTTATTCGGATCCCCTCATTCTACTCTCAATTTGACGTTCATTTTTCTCTTCCTGCCATCGTCTTTTCAAATCAATTACGCTAGCAACATTTATTAAATGTCTATGAGCTGAGCTTGGCATTGTTCGTACATTGCTCTCTCTCTCTCTCTTTATCTACTTCTCGTCTCTGGCAATTGTTTTGGGTGTTTTAGTTTATACGTTTTTGATGCTGCTATCCGTCCAGCAATAACGGAACAAACAACAGAAATGCCTCTTGACATGCTTATAATAACATTTTATCCTTGTAGATCTAAACTAAGAAATGAAGACATTTTCACTGATATATCCACTGCGTGTCTTTTGTGGGTGCTTGTGTTGCATTGCGTTAAAGTGATGACAGAGCGTTAAGACTCTAACATTTTCATCTATTTTTGAGAATAAAAAAATCGACGAGAACAACAAAAGCAGAAAAAAAACACGTAACAAATGTGTCGCTGAGCATAAAAATGGGAATACAGATTTGTTACAGCAACAACCGAACATAAAATATTGTTCCCTAAAAACGTTACATGAATTTCCATCTAACGCGAGTGTAACATGAGTTGCATTAGAAACAGTATTAGCTCATGTTTCACTCGCGTTGGATAGAAATTCATGTAACGTTTTTAGGGAACAATATTTTATGTTCGGTTGTTGCTGTAAAAGATCTGTATTCCCATTTTTATGCTCAGCGAGACGAATCTACGACCAAACCATTTACCCATTTGCTTTTAATTGAAAGCAAGTCTCAAGTGTTCATTGTTGATACTTTGTTATTTTGTAAACACTTCTTGCCAGTAAAATGGAAAAGTTGAATGGAGAACAGTGAATAAAAATGAAAATGATTCAAATCGACAAACAAACGGGCACCATGGTTCATTCAGCTCTCTGGTCGGTTGGCTCGAAAGTATTTTTCAATTGCTTGGATTTACTTCATTTTATCTTTCACACCCTCCCTCCCTCTTTATATATGCTTTTAATTTCATTCTTGAGACACAAATGCGCACAATTTTAATTAATTTGTGTGTTTCCGCTGCTGAGAATATTTTGACGATTCGTCATCTTTATCATCATCGTCATCACTGCTGGATGGAATACTATAGATACGGATAAACTGTAATAAAACTTTGACATTGTCAAAACACACGCTCTCACATAGTGATACAGATAAAGAAAGCGAAAGGGAGTAGACGGGAAGTCATTCTCTTGTAATGATGTGTCATAAAGAAGTTGAACCATAATTGTAAACATTGAACATTGTTCAGCTATCTCAATCCTTCATTTCGTCAACACTTCCTCTGATACATTTCGGTTAATATCATCGAGTGCTTTTCATGTAAAATATCATCATCATCGGCAATGTGTTATGTCAGCGCGTTGCTATATTATGTCGCAAACACAAAATTTGTGAAATAGAAATCGAATGGTCATAAAATTCGAAAGAAAAACGAATGCAAAAGTAGCTTTTGTTTACTAATCTGTTAACGCCATAGGTCTTACTATTGTTTTATCATGAAAATGCAATCAATTCGTATGATTCATTCGACATTGTAAATATTGAATCGAAACAACAGGAAAAATGTGTGTAGCTTGAGTAGCAACGCTAAGTGATATGGGAAAATGGTTGAAAAACGATACAATATTTTAATTGAGATTTTAATTAGAAGCCCCTATTGAAAAGAACCATTTTGTTCAGATGTTGCCGCTGCTAAACGCAGGCAATAATCAACAATAATGAGTATTTTGTGTTAATTAATGCCGGCTCATAGTAAATGATTACTCCAAGCATCAGATAACCTATGGTTTTATAGCTTAATATACATACTTAGATGTATGAACATTGAATAGGCTCACGCATCCAAATGTTTATTTACAAAAATGGCCGAAATAGAATGAAGACGATTGAACATAGAGTTTGAAATAGAATGAAACAAAATCGACATTGTATTTTACATGTTATATGTAGCCATTTAATCCTGGTGAGAAATCAATAAAAAAATCCATTCCATTTGAAATGTGATTCAATGTCTACAACATTGAAAATGATTTCCCAAATTTTGAATATTTTTCTTGATTTCTTGTTTTTTTTTGTAAAATAGAGAGGCCGCTGACGCCTTGTCCGATTGAAAAACCGATAAAATGTCGATGATTCAAAGCACTTGAAGATGAATGAATGAAATGGAATTTCAATCACGCAGTCAAAGTTCGGTTTAATTGATGTGAGGGAGTGGCAAAGGAAGATTCCTTATTTCTAAACAAATATCAACCGATTTGGACCTTTTGCGCTTCGTCTTGTGCCTTCTCCTTTATTATTATTGTGGCACCAAAACACATATTGATTAATTTGTGATCGGGTATGCGAGAGAATACCAGCAAATAGGAGTGAGTGCCAAAGAGGGAAAGATGAGGGAGAGAGAGAGAGAGAGAGAGTATAAATTACAAGAAGGGACGACCATCGACCACCCATGGCACTCCACATACACAGAATACACTTGTGATGGAATCACTCCACATGAGCTTGGGTAATCACACGAGCAAAGAATGCGAGATAAGGATTGAAATGAAACCAGTTTCGGTCTAAACGGGGGATAAAGAGTGTGAGCTTAAAAATTTTTCCACTGTTTTTGTTTGCCGGGTATTGATTTTATTAGGACAGAACTTTGTCCAATACTCATCTGAAAAAATCAATAGATATCATCATACGAAAAGTGAGTTAGAGTAAAAGAGACCAAATGATGGAATCTTACGTTTGTTTACATTTGAAGGAATGTTACCGGAGAATTGTGTGCCTTTAACTTGTTCTTTGCGCGCTATTTTTCGGACCTGTTTGACCTTAGTGCAAATGAAACTTTATTACATTCACACTTTTGCCATATCTAAATTGGAATCACGTTCGATTTCAGTTTTTATGAGAAACCGCACTCTGCGCTCCCAAAACGTATTGGTTATTTATTTATTTGTTTTCTTTTGAATCTCTCTCTGTACTCTCGCCCTCCCAACGACGTGTCTATTATTTTGTTGACATTGCTTTCAGGGTGTCAATTCCAATAGGAGCGTATCTTATCGTAGTGAATCGTGCTTTTTTTTTCAATACTTCGATTGATAACTAAATAGCTGATTGTCAAGCAATCCGTAAATCTCTTGTTGAGATATTTCCTGTCTTTGTTGCACACCTTCATTGTTAATATTGTCTATCTATGTTGCTCGACATTTAAATGAGTTAAAATATTTCGATCGAATATCTAACTCGATCGATTGTGGGCGAAAAATTCAATGAGCCAGCAAAATTTTCCCCGAAACCATAAATGACAGTAAAAACAAACGCGACAAAAAGAAATGGAATCCATATCGACTCTTAGCAAAATTGCCGATGATAACAGAAAATGTCGGTATGCGGCACACTCAACAATGTCGGTGGTGGTGGTGGTGGTGTATGCTTGTATGTAATATAATTGAACGGGCCAACGTAAGACAATTCATTGTTTATACATTGAGCAATTCGCAATTCAATGCCAGCTCATGGTTTTTTTTTATATTTCTTCGTAAAATAAACGTACTAATGCCAGGAGGGAAAAGAAAGAGTGCGCGCACCACATTGCAAACGCTTCATTGTAAGAAGAAGAAGAAGAGGAAGACGTCAAGAAAATACAAATTACCAAGCGAATATGATTTTGATTTGTATTTAATATCAAATCGGCTTTTTAGTATACAATGTTAAGCGCGCATAGCTCGCTGTACGTTCGTTCGTTTTGGTTTATTGAATGGTGTTCAGTTTTATCAACAGTCAACACACATCACGCAGTCAGACCTCTTTTCGTTTTTGGGCTGGGAAGTAAATAAGCCGACTCAAAAAATAATAAAGATATCAACACAGTAGCAAACTGCATGCCATTGCCACCGCTAAATACTCAGTACAGTACAGTACAGTACAGTATCAAGTGAACGGGAAAAAACGATTTTTGCGGCATTTTTCGTAAAATCACATCGCATCGCATTCACATTTACCTTCGTTAATTTTTTCTTCTTCTACGTTTGGGTTGGGTTTTTTTTTTCTTTTGTTTTCGTTCGTGTAATTTTTGTGTGTTTTGGTTTTATTCACGTTCAATAAATCAAATTCAAAAAGTGCGTTTCCCCGTGGTCGTAATTAATTTGTTTTTCTTTTTCGCTGGTTGTGCACATTCTAGTACGAATTTATAACAAATAAAGAAAATTTATATATATTGTATTACAAAGTGAATAGAGAGAGAAAGAGAAGAAAAGCGCGCACAAAATTTAAAGCGTGCACATGCACAAGCACACATATATCGTTTTTGCTGAACAAAAATTGAATACCTTATTTGATTATTAAACGGTGTGTTTGCTTGATTTGCAATCATTACACGCGATGTGTTCAATAAAAAGACTTACGCGAAAAATAACAATATACCAGAAGTTCTTTGCACCGTTGCAAGTTGATTGATAATACAGAAAGAGAGTGAGAGAAAAAAGCACGGTAATAATAGCATACATAGCATAAGAGAGAGCGTCAGCACTCTTGCTGTGGCCTGAAAGGAATTTGTGCCGTTTTTTTTGTTATATCGACGGGGGAGAGCAAACCAAATTGTTGTGGCAAAGTGAGCAGCCGCACAAAGAGGTGAAATAACGTGAAAAAAAAACATTGTGGCTTTTCTGTTCGAATTTCATTATTTGGCCGAGAAGAGAAAAACAATCGTATTTTGGGTGATTTTTTTTTTTCGTTGGTGTCGCTGTGTCGCTCTATCTCTCACTTACCTGGGGTTGATCGAGCTATGAAGGGAAAGTACGTTGTACAGGTAGATAATATTCAAAATTATATCACGGCAATACACTGTGTTCATAAAGGTTATCATGTGTGTTTATTGTGTGTGAGCGCGAACGCTCGAATGATTATCGAAGAGACACATCGCATTCGATTATTGTTAATAATAATAATAAAAAAATCTCCAAGGAATTTTCGTTAATAGGCTGTCAATCCAGTACTTGATAAATCACTTGATAAATGTTCAACAGTTTTATTACGCGCGAATTGTTGTTGTATCGATTTGAGGAATTATCGTTATCATCGATTTGCTCAGTCTTCTGTTTCGTTCATTTCATCTTTTATTGGTCGAAGGTTTTTTTTTCTGCCTATTAAACGACATCATCTTTTAGTTACTCATCGATTTTTGATTCCTTAACAACCATTGCTATTATTGCTGTAGTATTTCTATCCAAAAAATGTGAGACTAATTGTTCTTTGTTGTATGACTAATACTAATTTTTGTGTATGTTTTTTTTTCTTCTCGTTTAATTTTGTTGCAGACCAATCAAATGAGAGCCGTTTCAAGTCCATCATTGTGTGAGAATCCGCTGGATACGGTTAAATGTCCAAAGAAACCGCGACGCGAAGAAGCTGTACAAACGGTTGAAACGCATCCACCGCAAAGCATAAATACAACGACCAGTGTTCTACAGAAATTCCGAAAGACATTTTCAAATTTAAAAGGCAAATCATCATCGATCAGTTCGACCAACGGAACGGTGGCCGTAGCACCGATAAACGGTGTTGGTTCGAATCACGTATCAAACAATTCATCAGTTGCATCGATCAATAGTAGTAACGCGCATCCAATGGTGAACATGACAAATCCATCGTTTGACAGTGCCGACATAATCAAATATCGGTTCGGCCCATTGATTTGGCGAACGAGCAAAGAGCGACGCAAGACCAAACATCATCGTCGTGATAAATGCAACAGTGGCGATTCCGGTATACAAGTGGAATTGGAAAATGATGAAAATGTGATTTCGAACGATGTGACCGACGGTTTGAACGCATCACCATCGTTTAATGTACGTGTTCGACGTGCCAATTCAGCCAAAGTTGCATCCAATTCGATGGCATCCTCCGCAAAAGCACGAGTTTTGAAGCGTAACGAAGGTTCCGACAAACTATATTTAACACCGATTCCTGGTCGTTCGCTCAGCCAACCATACGGACTCAACCAAATCGCACCATGTAAGTAATGTTTTAGTTGGTGTATACCATTTGTCACAATTTTTTTTTTCTGTTCGTTTTCGTTCGAGTTTTTCTCGCATGCATCGCTTCCTATCAAACTTTTACTCATTTTGCTATCTTGTTTTTTTTTTTTCATTTGCAAAATGAAACATTTTCACATGCACATGTGGCGCATCAAAGCGTATCTAATTGTTGCAAAAAAAAAGAAAAAAAAATTAAAGAAAGAAAAATGAAGCGGCACTTTCGTTTGAGTTTATATGGTATATTTATCGAATGCATTGATGCATTACATTTGGAAGAAGAAAAAAAACTAAAATGGGTAATTCTCATTGGAACTTTGTGCAAAAACAGATGCCGATGATAGTGACACTGACAGCGAACCAGTCGAGAATGGTATGGCACATCAAACGGTTTACGCTGAAGTGCTGTACACATTTAAAGCGGTTGGTGCAGAAGAGTTAAGCCTAGAACGAGGTGCTCTTGTCGAAGTACTTCGCATTGAATCTGGTCCTTGGTGGTGGGGACGAGTCAAAATGGATGCAATCCTTTGTGGTCCACAAAATGAACCGCGCCAGGGATGGTTTCCAAGAGATTTTGTCAAAGTAAGTACTCTCATCCGTAAGGGTGGATTCATTCATTCGTGTTTAACCGTCGACCGCACAATTCATAGAAATCTTGCACGCATATAATTCGGTCATTATTTCTTCCTTTGCTTTTTCAACTAATGCATAATTTTCTTTTCAATTATATCAATTACGCACATCGTAGGTTATCGAACCATTTCCACGGCCCAACAAAAATGCAAACGCACAACAGCCGAGCATGCAACTAACAACAGATCTTAATAACTGTGATATCGAATACGTTCAGCAACCAATTTCTCCAGTTTTATCAAAACAACACGAAACAACCGACTCGATGCAACCCAGCCAAATGTCCAACGAAGCAATGAAGGAGAATGTCACTCGTGAACTGCTCGAAACCGAGGAAAACTATGTGAAACTTTTGTCATCGCTGTGTATCGGGTAAATGTTATGATTCTAAAATGCTTTGTTGTTGTTTTAAATAGAATTCCTTGCAATGTACTCAATATTTGCTTGACATTGTCGTCATCGTGATCGAAGACGACGACGGCGGCGGCGACGACGTTTGAAATGTTGAATATTGCAATAAACAAGAAACACATTTATAACAATCAAAATACGTTCGTGCTCTCTCTCTCTCTCTCTCTCTCTCTCTCTTTCTCTCTCTCTTTCTCTCGTTGCAGATATCTTAAAGAGCTCCGACAACATCCAAGCGTTTTTCCAACCGAAAGTTTGATTCTCATATTTTCCAATATCGAGAAGATTTTTCGCTTCCAGCAAAAGTTCCTCGATGGATTACGTTACGGCATCGAGCACAATAAAATCGCTGAGACATTTTTGGAATTTGTAAGTTTATTTGTTTTTTTTTCATCGTCTTGCGGTGTTTTGCTCTTTGTTTCGCTCTCACTCTTATATGCAATTTATTGAATGCAGTTGAACGTAATTTCACTTGAAAATTGTTGAAATAAAATCGGCATTGCAATTATATTAAGCGTCCATTTAAAAAGTTTTAAAGCTGCTAACTGCTATTGCTTCTACTGCTGTTCACTTGCAAGTGATTCCAATGCAGTTTTTTTTCGCCGTTTTATTTGGCTTTGTTTTTATTTTTGTGTGTTGCGAACAAACAACAAAATGTGAGAGAACAAAAAGTCACCGTACAAACGTTCAAATATGGCAAAATAACAAATGATTTTCTCATTTTCTCGAGCAGCAATCGGATTTTATGGTTTATTCAACCTATTGTAATTCATATCCACGTGCACTGATGGAATTAGAAACATATACAGGGAACTCGGATGCTATGGCTCTGCTCGAAAGGTATGTGTACAGTTGAAGTGCGTTGTTCTCGATGTGTATCACCAATTTAAATAAATTTGTGTGTGTGTGCATTCGATGATTATTTTTTTTCCGCTTTGATTGCTTTTGCTCGATGATACTCATTCGATTTTTTTCTTTTTGTTGCGTTTCGTTTCAGTTGTCGTACTCAACAAAACTTACCGGAATTGCCATTATCTGCACATTTGCTGGCGCCAATTCAACGCATTTGCCGCTATCCATTACACTTGAGTGAACTAGTCAAACATTCGCTGTCGAAACAGGATCTGATACGGCTGCATGAGGATGACGATAATCGTCATCATCATGTGGACATCGATTCGCTCGATTCGAAAGAATCATTCGAACAGGCATTGGCATGCATGAAACGTGTCACGGAAATGGTTAACGAAGGTAATTCATTTACACCTTATATACAAAACCATTCGACACCTTCATTTTTCCTACTCCATTTTTTTCCGCTTCATCATTGCAATGATGGAATTTTATTTCTCATGTATATTGAACGTGTGTGTGTTTTTTTTTCTTCTTTCCTTCGCTTCGCAGGTAAACGGCATAGCGAGTATTTGTCGCGCATCCAGGCTCGCTTCGACAGTTATGAAGGTCCACCAATCAGTGTTCACAGCACCCGTCTATTTTTGCAAATTGATGCAATTCGCATGACGCCAAACATTTGGAATAACACATATACGCTGTTTTTATTCGATCGCCAATTGATTTATTGCAAAAAGGATTTACTCAAACGCACCAATTATATTTATAAGGGCCGAATATTCTTAGATAGTTGCCGTATTCTTAATCTACCGGACGGTCGAATGTTTGGACTGACATTGAAAAATGCGTTGCGCATTTTCTGTGAAACGCGAAAAAAGTGGTTGGACTTTTGTTTTCGTAGCAGCAGCAGTAAGCTGCGGTTTTTGAATATTTTGTCGGCCGAACGGCAATTTTGCGGCCAAAGTTTGTTTGTATCGGAAATAGCTGGCATCGATGATGAAATGTTTGATCGTGAATTCCAACCGACAAACAATGATTACGTGTGCAGTGACAGTCCGATGGGCAGTAGTCCCGATGATAATTCGGCTTCGTTGCATATCAGCGAACGTGGTATTGATGTGGAGAATTTGAACGTTGTAGCCACAAATGAAAAACGCAATTCGAACACATCGCTAAAGCATGGGAAATTCAAAAAATCCGATACACTTCCAAAGAAATCACGTAAATTGGGCAAAGAACAAGGCCAAATGAGTTTCGATTATCAATCGAATTCGTTGGGTCGTAAACGTATTGGAAACTGGTTCGGTCGTAAAAGTAAGAGTACGAATTCAACACCGTCACAAAGTCCAACGCATCAGCCAATTATCATAGCGTCCGTGAGCTCCGAAGAGAGCTCATCACAGTCCAGTCCTGCGATGGAAGGTCGTCTATCGCATAACAACACCAATAATAAAACGATAACCACATCGTCCTGAGAATACGAGAGCACTCTACTGTAGAGCCAACCCCTTTCATGTTCAAGCGCTGATTGGCTCAACTATTCAAAAATGACCCTTTTGCCTCTTGAATTTGTATTTTTGTATAGATGAGTTATTTTTCATCTTCTTCATTTAGTTACAATATCATTATTATTATTATTTTGTATCATTATCGATTGTTAGTATTTATTAACTTTAATATTGTGTGATTTGTTCCATTCATTTGTCCAAAGTGCGAAACTAAACTTACTGCAAATAGAGAGGAAATATTATGAAAAGCTAAATAAATGGAATCGAAGAAATTTCAATGAAAAAGTTATTTGAATGGTCAATCAAATTCGAAATGAATAAGAAAAAGCGAACTCCAAGAAATATGACTGTTTCAATGATAAATTAATGAATTTAATTAATTACCTACTATTATCTTAGTATTAACATAAACGAAGAAAAAAAAAGTAATCAAGACGTATTCAATGAAATTATATTCATTCAATTTAATGGTACTAACAAGAAAGAAAAATACCGGAAAGGAAAAAAAGTCAACGTATTAAATGATCCCATTTAGAAAACAATTTTTGATTTTTTTTTCTGTTTTTTATTCATTTATTTTTTCTCGAAATTTTACGTTTTTTTTTCTTCTCAAAAAGTAGCAGGGAAAAAAATACAATTAAAAATGCTTATCAAACAATTGACAATTTGAAATAATAGCACAAATATAGGAACTGATCACATTTTCATACACCATTTTTCTTGTGTGTGGAATCGAGCATGCAAAAAACAATAACAGTTTGTCATTGATAATGTTGATACTATGTATAAACGCACACACCACAGAATTATGCAAGGAAATAACCGAAAGTGAACCATGCGAACAAGGAAGAGAAGAACAAAAACAAATTTTAATTTATAAAATTGGAACGGATGAGATACACATCTCAATCGTACGACAACACACACAGAGAGAGGAAGAAATGACGTGTATTTGATTTTTCAACGTAAGTATTTGTAGCAAGCACTATGTGTTTTTTTAACAAAAAAAAACCATTTAAAAGCAAAGAAAAAAACCCAAGAAAAAAAAACAATAGACCAGACACATACGCACGCATATTTGCAGGCTATTTTAAACGTAAAAGAACCTTAGCTGTCTGAATGGCAGGCAAGTAGTAAAAAAATACCACCAAATGATGATGATACAGAAATTTATCAAATTTTCCGTTTCTTTTTCGAGATGTATTTTTAGTATTTCTGTATGTGTAATACAAAATCACTACTAATTGTTAATGAAAAAAAACCACTTGGATGAGCACCATATTTACACAGGAGGAAATCACTTTGATAAAATGACAATGAATCGAAGAATTCGATTTGCTGTCTAATAGACAAATCTCTCTTTCTTCTGATAAAAATGAAGCAGAAAAGGAAAACCCAAATCGATAAGATTGAATAGTATTTTGAGCCTAACAATATTCAACGTCATTCCAAACGATTGATGTGATGTTGATGATTGTAACATTTTGATTTGTACAACTTGAAGATAAGCACGAGTGAAATTCTCACACCACACATTTCACACATAGTACCAATGATCGAATTGAAGGTAACAAATCGCCAATTCTAAGAAATTTGTTTTTTTTTTTTTCGTTGGTTCAATGTTAGCCAAGGTTTTTTTTCGCTCATCAAAAACGCAAAAAAACAATCCCATTGAAAATAGATTTAATAGATCGTTTTGATTTTTTTTCTGTCTCCCTCAGAAGGGTAGCTATTGACCAACTGGTGGCAGATATTTAGAGTTGAAGGTCACCCGCGCTGCGTGTAGAAGTTTGTACTGAAAATAAATCATAGGGAAATAGATAAACTTAACAGTTAAACTCTTAGTTATAAAGTAACGGATCTACCATAAACTGAGATACATCCATACATACGATGCGATGACTCGAACAAGAATCAGACCAATGAATAATATCTGAAATGAAAAAAAAATGAAAGTGTCATCGAAGTATCCAGCGAATAAGTAAGACAGAACGAAATCAGGCTCAAGAATTTGAAGTAAAAAAAACACGTATACATGACCTAATTGCTCAATAAACTGTGTTTGATATACATATTGCATTGGCCCCAAAAACCAAAACAAAATACAAAAAAAAATTAGCCTAATCGGATGCAACAAATTTATATGACTAATGCCATCTCGATGGAGGAGGCGATTTGAAATCCTGATTAATTGGCTCTGAGAGCGAATAATTTTGCCTAATGTATGTATGGGCCCAGGTAATAGATTGTGGTGCAAATAAAAACGCACAACTAAATTAGTACTGCATAGAAAATATCGATGGAACGCATCATAGTTGTATGTTGGAAGACAAAAAAAAATTCACATTTGACAAAGCAAAAAACAAAACAGTTATTAACCCTCAACTGCATAAGCCCGCCTTTTGGCGGGCATCATTTAAACACCTGTATAATGTGAATCGTACGGCGGATGACATTGCTTCAAGGGGAATTTTTATTTGTCAATGTTTTTTCTTTATTTTTGTCTTTGGCGTCATTTGTCTATGTCGTACGATTGGTGAGTTATAAACAAAAATGTGCACGAAAACGAAAATTTGACAAAATAAATTATTCGGTTTCCAAATTAGACATATTTTTGACACTTTTAAACAATGGATTTCATTGTTCTCTGACTTATTTCTATCGCATTTCCTGACTAAACCATGGGAAATCTAGGATTATGAATATTTTTTTCGTTATCTATGGCCAAAAATCAACCAAATACCAGTACTCCCAGTCCTAGGAAAAATTCATGCAGTTGAGGGTTAATACCCCCCCTAGAATGAATAAAATGCATTTCAGCACTTTATACTATTGACATAAACAAATCAAAAAAAGTAAAACGTTTTTTGTTCAATTCATACAAAGATCTCGCCCATTTTGTGGCGAGACTAGAATATAACAACTCCAACTCCTTTCCTGTTCACTGTTAGCAACCAAAAAAAAAACGTTCACGATAGAACTTTTTAATTAGATTACCGTGGTTTTATTAGACACGTGGAAACTGAAGAAGAAAAAGAACGAGAAATTGGTTGGCATTGTTGCTCGAATGAAAATTTCACCGATTGTCATTTGAACGGTCACTTTCTGAAATGATGTGTCAGTGATGAGTTAATTTTGAACAATTTTTTGTAGGCCAAACACCTTTTGACCTGTTTCAAGAATCCACTTTCACAGTCATCATATCGAATATGAACGACACTTTTGGAATGAATGTTTTTTACAAGAGGAAACCAGCACCTTTTAAGGGACACCAAATCCAATCCGGAAACGATATCTTCCCTTTGTTGGAGCTATCGCATCGGTAATACGACGAAAGAAAGTTAGTATATGTTTGAAATATGTGTCCAGAATAGGCAGCTTGATAGGGAAAATGTCTGTTGAAAACGTATGAAAATTATGTTAAACCAGTTGATTAAAATGATTCAACAAAAGTATATCTATTTAAAAAGAAAAGGAAAGAAAAAACATTGTCTTAAAATACAACCAATTGGATATTACTGGCTAAAAAGCGTTAGAAAATCAAAAAAAAAGTTGTTTTTTTATGTAAATAAATTTCGTTTTGTGTAGGGCATTGGGAAAAGAGTAAAACCAAATATTCGAATCTCTTATTAATTATTCTGCAATTACTATTTGGAATTTAGATTTATAAATATAGATCCATATGAGATTCAAAAAGCATCCATAGACGGTTAATGTTATTTGGTTCGTTTGATTCCAGATAATCGCGTTTTTGTTCATTCTAATACCTTGATTTTATACTTAGAACGTTTAAGTTATGAAACAAATAAACAAACAAAATTGAAAATAAATGTTTAAACATTGAAAGATGAAAACAGAAGAAAAAAAAATAATTTCGAATTTATGAAAAGACAAAAAAAAAAACATTACTACTTAGATCTATTAACCATAAACTATTAATTATATATTACTATTTAAATGAAATAAACAATTATGGAAAAAGGAACAAAACCAAATTGCATTTTCTTTCATATTTTCAGTTGGTTTTTTAGTCCGTTGAATTTTCATTGGTCCGGAAGTGTTCGATGCACATGCTCATTTCAGTGTTGCAAATTTTGTCTAAAATGAATTTCGCAGTACTTTTTTTCACTTTGTGGTATATAAAGTCACTTTCCTTGTCAAATACTGTTGACAGGTTTTCACTCCAAATACATGTGTTTCAACTTCCTCTTCGCATGGTTTTTTCTCTTCTCTATCAATTCACCACATTTAATATTTACATTTAATACAAATTGAAAAAAAAAAAAAAAATATGATTGAAAAATTTAGCCGAAAATCATTGTAGGATGGTAAACATAATAAAAAATTCGTTTGAATTTAGCAATAAGCCGGTATCAGGTTTATATATTCTCCACTGACTCTCATGACGGCTGCTGACATTGTCAAATCGAGAGAAGGAAGAAAAGAAGAGAAAAATTTTGAGGAATTTATGAGAATTTCAATGACAGTATCAGACATTTTTTTCCCTTCATGTTGGTGCCAGTAATAAAGTGTAACATAAATTCAAAGGTAAATTTAAATGGCAAACAATTTCGTCGAAATTTGCTCTGTTGCCGGAATTGTTTTTTTACGATTGAATCAATAACGAGTTGATTATTGGTTGGAATTGGTATGTGGCGATGACAGTTGATTGATTGTGTGTGAATTTAGCGAAACGGAAAAGGAACCATTTGTTTTAGTTGTTGGTACTATTTTTCGATGACTTTTTTCGTTCATTATGTGTATCTATTAAACACCTCTATTGTTGTAATAACCATATCCTTATCCTGTTTCGATTTCGGCTCTTCCTCTAGTTGTATGTCAACATTGAGATTGTTGCTTTGTTTTGTAAACAAAAAAAATAGTTTTTCGTCTTTTTCTCTGTCTTTTTTTCGGAAAGCAATGTTTGTGAACCGCAGCAAAGTGTTGACGCTAATTGAATTAATATTATTGCGAGACGTTTATTATATGTGCACGAGAAAAACCAGCTGTTGCAGACAAGAAAAAAAATCCCAGGAGGAAACATTGTTTTGATTTTTTTTCAGTGAATTGATTCGTGGCGCTTTGTAATCGAATCATATTTCATCGGGGAACCAAGTGTTTACGAATAACATAAACAATCCATTCCATTTTGATCCGAACAGATAAATTGTTTAGCCCAAGAGCAATGAAATCCAACAAACTTTCAAAACAATACCAGGTTCTAAATGCAATTTCAACTAAACTCATTTTGTTTGTTTTCTTCTGTGTGTGACCTTTTGTTAGTTCATTGTTTGTCGGACAATTTTTTTTTTCATCATTTTCATTGGGATAAAATGCATTTTGTGTGGTTGATTTCAGCGATTTTTGAGTTCATTCATCAAAGTTGTTGGCTTCATGGAATTCCATTATCATCAATTTTATTTATTTACTCATTTTGTTTCGTTCATTGATTTGTTTCATTCAATTCCCGTTCGGCCAAAAAGACATTTAACTGATAATCTTTTTGCTTGTGATGTATTTTTTTTTTTGTGAAAAAATAGGCGACGATTTATACCGCAATTCCTATGATTTATGGACCAATAACGCATAACAATTTAATCAAAACATTTACATTGGAACGATAGTGACGGATTTTATTGCAGAATTTTTTTTTTCACAATTTCATCAATGGTAAATACCCAGGCTAATTATCGGCAAAAATAAACATTTGGTTTGTTGATTTTTTCACGTGATATGAAAAGAAAAAAGTAATTTTTTTGATTGACATTTCTCGCGAAATCAAAATAGAAATAACCTAAAAATCAAATGTCATGTCAAAATTATACTATTACTCATTGTTATTGTTCGATGATTATTCTAGTCTCCATTGCCGAAGGCACACAATTTTTGATGGTTTTCATTTTTATTTTTTTTGAATTCGTTTAGATGGAACTAGGAAATGTAATAAATGTGTTGAATCAGCCAAAACCACCAACAATTTCGATTATGGACTTGGGGAAACAGCTATTGGAAAGTGCTAGAGAGGGTCAAACAAATAAAGTGCACGATCTAATGTGTCGTGGAGCACCATTTACCACCGATTGGGTATGCATTCGGATATTGATACCGAACATTGCACTCAAAATGCTGAACGATTCTCTCTCTTTTTTAATTCATTGCAGCTGGGTAAATCAGCGCTTCATATGGCAGCTGAGAATAACCATTATGAAACTTGCGAAGTGTTGCTCAGGTGAGTCGCTTATTTTTTCCTGTCTCTTTTCTTCTTTGCCCGTCTGAATATACACGGAAATGAAATTGATGACCATGAATTTAGAGATTGTAAGACTCATAATTTTTCTTTTCTTCTACAGAGCCGGTATCAGCAAAGATTCTCGGACGAAAGTTGAAAGGTAGATGATAAGCAAATGCACAGCAACGGTTCGATTAACTATATTCAGTTATTTTATATTTCGATTGTATTTATTCGCAGAACACCACTGCATTTAGCCGTTTGCAATGGACACGAAGGTATTGTCAAGTTGCTACTGGATCAAAAATGTGATGTCAACGCTAAGGATATGGTATGCAAATATTTTTTTTTTTCAAGTTACCAATGAAAACATTTAGTATGCATTCGATTGCCGGAATTTTTTTTCAATGTCTTTTTCTTCGGATTCAATTGTTTCAGTTGAAACAAACGCCATTGCATTGGGCTGTTGAAGAAGATCATCCGAACCTCGTAAAGCTGCTATTGAAACACGGTGCTAATCCAAATGATGTGTCAAAAGCGGGCGAAACCCCACTGTCAATTGCACAGCAATTGCGTTTCGATGATTTGGTGCGATTCATGACCACGTACAAGCATCAAGCGAGCGTTAGCATCGAGGAGCAGCAAGAAGCCACCGAAAGTCTTATGCAGGAAATGGAGAAAGATAGTTTAGGTTCATTTAAACACAGCGACATAAGCCAAGATTCTATATCATGTGACGACAATTCATCGGCAACTATCAACTTGCAATCGAATTTAAATAATTCCAGTCAACAACAGAATTGTATGTATATCTAGCTTTGGCACGTAGTAATTTTTATGCATTGATTGGATTTAAAAAAATTTTTTTTCGCCCCGTCATTTTATTTCCAGCTTCAACATTACAACTGCTGCAGGAAGAACTAGCAGTTGATGATGCTAACAATTTCCTTCAATCAGCCTATGCATGCGGTCGACAAATCATTGTCACTGAATTCGGTAAACAAATGATACTAAAAGTACAAAACTCAAATGCAAATGCAAATGCAAATACAACTCAAACGATTCCATCGAATTCGGTGGCGGGCAAAAATGGTGATGTCAAACAAAAACCCGTTGGCATTATCATGGCGAATTCGTCATCAACACCGAAAGTGCTAACGAAATCGAATATCCTGAAAAAGATCACGCCCGAAGAACTGAGCAAACTGTGCAGCGAGGGAAAATTTATCAAAACCGTGTCGAACACGCAAAACGTGTTGACTAACGGTGGCATTCGGTAAGTTGTTAAACTTGGACATTTTATTTCCCTATTTTTATTCCGTTTCATCGAATTAATGCGGTATGTGACTGAATTCAATTGCAGATTTCCGAAATATCGATTGATGCAAAAAGTAGGCAATGTGAGTGTCTTTCCGTTTATTTCTTTTTTATGTGTTCGCCTTGTTAGTTGGCCAATTTTAATTGTTATCCTGTTTTCTGTGTTTTTAGAGTGATAATACGAATCTGCCAGCAGTGAAAGTATTTAACAAGTCGGCAATATCGAATAGTTCCATTGGACCGGCAACAATAACAACGGCCAAAAAGGTGGTGATAAAAAGTGAGCCGCCGCATTTGGCCAATTTCACGACAACGGCAACAAAAGTTAATGCGTCAAATGTTGTTGCAAGTGTGCCCGTACGAAGTGAAACTGTTGATCAGAAAATGGTACAAATTCCAATGCCTGATTATCTCGAGTTGGTCAAGCAAATCAGTCAATTGAAAGAGTTAAAAGAGCGTGTGGCACGGCTTGAGGAGCATTGTGAGAAAACTGGTGGATTCATACGGAATCGAACAGCCACACAACATTAACACGGTTCACACAACAATTACATGACTCGATCGAATAAAAGAAAATTGAGTTACGCATGTGGATGCCTGCAAAGTATCAGCCATTCGAGCGGATTTCCGATTATTGTTTCTCCCCTTCATATGTGATCAGAAGTAGGTTCTATGAACTTAGTCTGGTCAATTCATGCAAAAAATCATATCCATTTTGAACAAAAAAGAAAACAAATCTTAATGCATCGTATTCTAATTTAATAAAATCATTTAATCACACTATCATCACTCATTTCCGACCTGCCCCGCCTGCTCTTCGTACAAACATCCAGCACACTCATTTGCATATATTCGTGCGCATCAGCAAATTCACGTCGATTTGTTTTTGTGAAATTAGTTTCGCCCAGCGGAAGTGAACAACAAGCAAGTTCGCTCAATGATCGCCTCCGAATTTTGGTGCGATGCCCAAAATACATGCTCATATACAAACAGAAAATGAAGAAAATGAATCAAATCATGTTACAACCTAGGATTTTTGCATTTGTTAATCCATTTTTGACACGTTAAAAAACACTCTGATTCGATTATAGATTTGTTATATTGTACATTTTTTTTATTTAACATAAAGCATAAAACAACAATCCCATTTTGTACTCAGTAAGTCATGTCTCTTTTTCAGAATTAAGTATATTTTGAGATAAAAAAAAAATTATGGAATCAACCATTTTTTTTTGATAGCTGTTAAACTAAAACAAAACAAATGGCATAATCAAGCGTTATACATGAAAAGTTACAATGAATATTTTTGTAAAAATGAATAAAAATTTTACAATATGAAAAAAAGAAAAAAAAGATTTGTGTGTTCATTTCAAAATTGCATAGCAATTCATAGCATGTGTATTTGAAATAAATTTGCGTGCGGTAGGTCAAAGAAGCCTTTCAATCTTGATTTTAATTTGACAAAATAAAAACGCGAACATCTCTCAACTCTCCACTTTTCCAAACCGTTCCGATTCTCTAAAAAAAAAACCGTATAACAGCCAATTCGCAGCTATATTCACACTATTGTCATGACAAAGCACAGAACAGTTGTCAAACATACAACTTGCAGTTTTGCTATTCGGTTTATGTTTACTGTATCGTGCAAGTTAGAACCGATTTGTTTTAATCATAACTTAACAAAATTCGTTTGCTAAGCTGAAAATGTTTAATCAAACACCAAATTTCAATAAGCCGCTCTGGAATAATGGTCCACAGCCTGGAAACTTCTACAATTTCCCTGGATCAAACAGTTCCATGAACAGTTCGACGAATAATGGAACACAGCGATCAGCGTAAGTTTGTTGTCATTTTTTTTCTCATTATACCCATAAATTTAGAGTTTTCGTGAGCGGACACCATGCATTTTATGGTTTTCGATCCATTTCTGAAAGTAAAAGTCATGAATGTTCTGATTTGGTTTTTGATGCGTGTCAAAAATTCCAGTTGCCTACAAAAAGAATGACTGTTCATAATAACAAAATCATAACCTCAAACACCGTCTTGAGAATTATTCTATGTGCTATATTGACATTCGTTCAATTTTAGGTATCCAATTGCGACTGGTGCATCAGTGATTGGCATCAAATACGACGAAGGTGTTTTGATTGCAGCCGATACACTCGTTTCATACGGTTCGTTGGCTTCATTCCGTAATGTCGACCGTGTTTTTACAATCAACGACAGTTGTATTTTGGGCGCCGGTGCCGATTATGCTGATTTCCAATGCATCAAGCATTACATCGATGAGAAAATCACCGAAGACTTTTGCCACGATGACAAAATCGAAATGAAACCGAAATCCCTGTACAATTGGTTGACCCGGTGCATGTACAACCGGCGGTGTCGTATGAATCCATGGTGGATTGATTTGGTTGTTGGTGGCGTTCAAGATGGTATCCCGTTCTTGGGTCATGTCGACGTTCGTGGCCGCGCCTATGAAGATAAAGTGGTGGCCACTGGCTATGGAAAGCATTTGGCCATTCCACTGTTGCGTGAATATTCGGAAAATCCGAACGCAGTTCTGGACTATGATGCAGCACAAACATTGGTACCTCAATTGACACAATTATTTCAGTTATCTTTCGATTCAAATGCTAATCACAACTATTTCTTTCCGTTTTCTTTTCTCGCAGTTGAAGAAATGCATGGAAGTGTGCTTCTATCGCGATTGCCGTAGCTATCATCAATACAAAGTAGCCGTATGCACGAAGCAAGGCAGCAAAGTATTGGGACCAATCAATGTCGATCAGAACTGGGCATTTGCCACCTCAATCAAAGGATATGCTTAAGCCGAATTTACTAAAGAAAACATCAAAAATTATTACTTTTTTCCATAATAAAACAATCAAGTTTGAATAAAAATGAAACATTTTGTCACTTCACGATAAGCTTTGCTTTTCTCTTTCAATGTTCTTCAATTCAAGCTATAAAAATAGATTAAAATAAAAAAAGTCAGGAGGTTTTCAATGAATTCGTATTAAAGTTTATTTTTCGAAGAAGGCACTATAAAAAAATCACTGGATTAATTCAAAAGGAATCATTCGGTTTGGCCATTTCAACGGGTTTCGTTCGATAGAGATCGTTCTGACGTTTGAGATTCGTCCACCTCTGAAAAATGAAAAAAAACAAAAATTTTTACCTTAAAAGCATAGTACTTGAACGCAAAATATGTTTCAATTTCTTTGATCAATACTGTTCCGCTATCCAAAATATCGAGACGTTCGGCAAACATTCGGATTGGCTCCAGCATTTGGCCGATACCGACTTCTTTTATTTTTCTGAAAAAAAAATTTCAATTGATTTTAAGCTCTCCGAAATTGCTTCATTCGTAATGTACATACCGAGAAAAAAAATCAAAAACGAACGAACGCCATTCATTTTTCATAAGATTTACGTTAGGCGAAGCAAAAAATAAATCAAATTGAAAATTTTCCTACAAATCGCACAGATTGTCACTCGTCGATGCAACACTTGCGTAAATTCCTTCTTCACTTCTTGCAGACATTTTTTTTAAACAAAAATTCAAATCCGAAAAAATTGAACTGATTCAACGAAAATTTGGTGGGAACAACAATGACAACTAGAAAGTCATAGAGCTCTTCAACTTCCAAACCGTTCCGATTCTCTACAAAAGTCATGCAACAACCAATTCGATGCTATGTTCACGCTATTGTCATGAATTATCATCAGTTATAATCAACAATTATTGCTTTTTTTCATAATAAAACTCCAGATTAAATAAAAATGAAAGATTTTTGTCATCTTCACGATAAATTTTGCTTCTTCTTTCAATGTCCCTTCAATTCAAGCTATAAAAACCAATTGAAATAAAAAAAACCAGGTGAAACTTTTTCTATGAATTTGTATCAAACTGCATTGTTGGAAGAAAGGACTGTAAAAATCATTGGAATAATTCAAAAGCAATCATTGGGCTCAGTCAATTCAGCGGGTTTTATTTGATGGCATTCGTAACTTCAACGAAAAATATGCTATTGAAAAACATACCTTCTGTCATGGACTGTAAACCTTCCAACGAGATTCATGATGTTAAAATCATCTCACATTCATCTGGTGGCGACCAAAGGTTGCGATGACACCGATGAAGACACTTTTCCTTTTTCCTATTTCCCAATCAGTTCTAGAAGAAAAACTTATTTTCCAATGCAACTAGCGCCAATTCCATAGATGACAAAACATTTCGCAGTCGTATTTAGTAAAGACCATGCTTGCATTCCAAAATGTATTGAATTAAAATGTCCGGATAAGGTTGCATTGAATGATACATCAGCGAGAAAATATATGATGCATTTCTCAATATTTGTTTCATTGTAACCGAGGAATTTACGCTAAGCTCTTTTGCAATTCTTCGCATACATATTATTCATTGGTCACTAGCTCTACAATGTAGAATGGAAACGCCGTTTTGGTCCTATGTATACTATACATAGGACCAAAACGGCGTTCCACTGCAGCAATACGATTCAAACAACGTCTCTTTTGTATGGATTAAAAACAAAACGTATTCAT